GGACAAGAGCCAGACTGGGGAAGGAATTGCCTGGTCTACCGGGACAAAGTCGGGTGGAGCATGTTCCATCGTCCTCTTGAGGTGGCATGTGTGCAATTCTGTCAGTACACAGGAACTGTGAGGAAATGGAGCATGCTCAATGATGGAAAAAGTGTAGAGACTTTTCAAGACTAAAATGCAAGTCTCTACTGAATATGTGCATATGAACTTTTTTCAAAGGCTTATTACTTGCAAACTTTGGGTGGATTTTTAGTGTCGACAAAAGACATTCCTGATACACAGGCTGCCCAATGCCAAATTGCAAGTCTCTGCTTCAAATCATGGGGGCACTAGAATTTCTGAAAGTCAAGGACACCAGATTTTTTTTCAATTGCAAAGCATTGTAGTTTCCTCTAACCTTGTTCTCAGAAACAGCAGAACTGTTTTGGCTGAAACTTTAAAAAATCAGCCCTTAGGCAAACACCTGGCATGGAAAACTTCAGCCCTAAAGTTTAGTTTGTCAGAGTTACAGCTGAAACAAAGTCTTATACTGGAAAATGTTGGGCATCCTTAATAATAGGTGATGCTACCAACCGTGCCTACAATACTTCTATGTCAAATTGTTTTATGTACTGCTAGTGTTAAATTTAATACCTTACATCACTATTGGTGAAAGGGATTAAAAATATCTTTTATCAAGTTTGTTTATTGTGTGGATTTGATAGCAGCTATTGTCAGCCAGTTTTCCCTATTGTTTGTGTGTGTCTTTCACATAGCAACAGAGAGATGAAAAAATTTTTAAAAATAGGAACGTGGTTATAGTACCACAAAAATTGGAAGGAGACTCCAGACATGTATATGTGTGTGTGTGTTTTTAAGTGACTAGATTACAAGTTGATGGTGTGTCTAACCTTTCTCTGGGTGGAGAGTAGAGGTAGTAGCTCGTTTGAGATAAGTCTTTTTAAAAAAAGACAGGCACAGAGAAGTGGGCTGTAAGACACTGAGATGAGTGGGAGGACATATGCAACACAGTTAGTTGTAAAGAGGCTGATCTATTTACTTCAGTTAGAACAGTGATCCCCAAACTGTGCAGTGTGCCCCCCTAAGGGAGCATGGAGGAATGTTTGGGGGGATGTGGTGGGGCCTGGGCCAGCCCCCAGGGGGGCTGGGGAGGGAGCATCACCCAGCCCCACTTTCATAGAATCATAGAATATCAGGGTTGGAAGGAACCTCAGGAGGTCATCTAGTCCAACCCCTTGCTCAAAGCAGGACCAATCCCCACTTTTTGCCCCAGATCCCTAAATAGCCCCCTCAGGGATTGAACTCACAACCCTGGGTTTAGCAGGCCAATGCTCAAACCACTGAGCTATCCCTCCCCGGAGCACTTTGCCCCCAGCTCTGCTCTGGACCCGCCCCCAGCCACAGCCCCGGCTCCTGGTCCTGCTCCCAGCCTCGACCCCTGACTGCAGCCCGCCTCAGCTCCACTTCTGGCCCCAGCCCCTGAACACGGCTCCGTTCTCAGCCCCCCTCCTAACCCCAGAGCCGCCTGCAGCTGCGGACCCAGCCTCAGCTCCCATACCACCCCCCCCCCCCGGGGGGGAGGAATGGGGACACGACCCTGAACATTTTGGGGCCCACTGAGTTAGAATATCTGGAACTTTCCCTGCTAGTTTAAAAAACTGCATTTTTGTTTTCTGGGTGATTTTTGGCAGAAGAACTTTCTCTTGGGAAGTATTTTTATTAGTTGGGTGTCTACCAACAGCAGCAGTGAAATTTTAAGAATGCTGGAAGGAAATTCGCTACTACTGATTCTGCAACTCCAATGAATGATAATTGGTGTTCATTATGTAGAACTATGTTATCATTTTGCCATGGGCTTGTAACAATACTTCTAGATTCACTGAGTGTGTCCAACCTAGTCTGTTATTTTTGATGGTGAATTTGAGCACCAATTTACGGTGAATAGTTGGTTTCTGAAAAGTATTTGTTCTGCTATTGGGAAATATGGGGTGTGGGAGAGAATGAGTGGCTCAGGGGTTTTTCAAGGGAAAACACAGGATGACTTCAGATTTACTGATTCTTACTTGCTCCTGCTGACTTATGTAGGAAAAAATGCCGGTTTCATTCCTTTTCCCCGGGGGAAAACCACCCTCACATTTGGCACTCTTGTTGGCAATTTCAGAAAGAGATTAAGGAGTACATTGGAATGTGGAGCCAACTACTTTCTCACAATTTCCTTGGTCAGGGTTTAAGCACCTTGGCAGGGGTGGGATAGTTCAGTGGTTTGAGCATTGGCCTGTGAAACCCAGGGTTGTGAGTTCAATCCCTGAGGGGGCCATTTAGGGATCTGGGGCAAAAATTGGGGATTGGTCCTGCTTTGAGCAGGGGGTTGGATTAGATGGTCTTCTGAGGTCCCTTACAACCCTGAGATTCTATGATATGAGGATATCTGAACTGTGGCTAAAGAGAAGACTTCAATGTTTTGTGCTGTCAATTAGATTAATTCACTAAATTAAAAAAAGATCAAAGGGAAATGAGGCTTGTATTTTCCATATTATTGACTGTGAGATTCTGGGGAATGGAGAATAATCTATATAAAATGGCTTAGCTGCCTAGCTCAATGTGAAAAATGACAAAGGCTAATCAAACCATCTAGACTGCATATAAGTAAGTTATGCATGTTTAAGGATCAGACCCTTAAGTTTGCAGGATCAGGCCCTTAGAAAATTGACTAAAATAGTTTGACTGATAGATGTGAAGACAATGTTCATCTGATTTGCAACAGTATTTTTTTAATCAAAATCAAGCATCTTAGTTACCGTTGTTGCCGTTTAAGTGTTATCTGGTGGGAATACCATGCTACCGTGTGGCATTTGAGTGATTTGGCTGAAATGCAATTATATATTTTTTAAATGATGGAAAAAGAAGTTTGATCATGACTTATGTCATTAAATATATCTCAAGATTGCTGTCAACATTAGTTTTACAATAGGAAATGTGGGTCACATTATGCTGTGATAAAGGACCTGCTCGTGCAAGGTGCTCAGAAATATTGTTTCTTTCCAAAAAGTGGCAAAAATTAATGAGCTAAAAATGTGAAATATAGAATCGTAGACATGTAGCACTGAAAGGGGCCTCAGTAGGTCATCTAGTCCAGCCCCTTGCACTGAGGCAGAGCTAAGTGTTATCTAGACCTTCCTTGACAGGTGTTTGTCTAACCTGTTCTTAAAAACCTCCGATGATGTAAATTCCACAACCTTCCTAAGTAATTTGTTCCAGTGCTTAACAACACTTACAATTAGGAAGTTTTTCCCTATGTCTAACCTAAATCTCCCTTGCTGCAATTTAAGCCCATTACTTCTTTTCCTATCCTCAGTTATTAAGGAGAACAATTTATCACCCTATTCTTTATGACAACCTTTTAAATATTTGAAGGCTGTTATCTTGCTCCCCCTTCTCCATGTCCCCTTTTAGTCTTCTCGTCTCCAGACTAAACAAATCCAGTTTTTTCAATCTTTCCTCCTAGGTCATGCTTGCTAGACTTTAATCATTTTTGTTGCTTTCCTCTGGACTGTCCCCAATTTGTCCACATCTTTCCCAAAATGGTGCCCAGTATCCACTAAGGCCTTGTCAGTGCTGAGTAGAATAAAAGAATTACTTTGTGTCTTCCTTACAACACTCCTGATAACACATCCCAAAATGACATTTGCTTTTTTTTTTTTTGCAACAGTATTATATTGTTGACTCATATTTAGTTTGTGATTCACTATAACCCCCAGATCTTTTTCTGCAGTACTCCTCCTTAGGCAGTCATTTCCCATTTTGTATTTGTGTAATTGAGTATTCCTTCCTAAATGTAGTACTTTGCATTTGTCCATATTGAATTTCACCCTATTTATTTAAGATCATTTCTCCAGTTTGTGCATATCATTTTGAATTCTAATTTTGTTCTCCAATGCGCTTGCAACCCCTCCCAGCTTGGTATCATCCGCAAACTTTATAAGGGTACTCTTCATGCCATTATCCAAATCATTTATGAAGATATTGAATAGAACCGGACCCAGGACAGATCCCTCTGCGACTGCACTCGATATGCCCTTCTAGCTTGATTTCGAACCATTAATAACTACTTTCAGAGTATGGTTTTCCAACCAGTTGTGCACCCACAGTATAGTAGGTTCATAATCACGAATGGCTCAGAGATATCTTCAGCCAGTTCTTTAAGTATTCTAGGGTGTATTTCATCAGGTTCTGCCAACCTGAAGATATCTAACTTGTCTAAATAATTTTTAACTTGTTCTTTTTGTATTTTAGCCTCAGATCCTACCCCATTAACACTTATGTCCACTGTGTTGGTCATCAGATGGATATATTTTATCTACAAAATAGTCTTGATATAATGAGCAACTGTCCCTAAAACATCATGTGCCCCAAACTGGTAGAATAGTATGAATAAATTTTGCCTTTTTCAGCTGCCATCTGTATGTAATGTTCTTACCAGAAATCACTTTTAAAATAGTGGTATTGACTTTACACTATTTTATTCTCTTATTCAGAACTTTCTAAATTACTTGAAACATGATTGTTGGATTCTGCTTGTGCTCCCATTGAAGTTTTTGGCCAATTTCCCATTGGCTTTCATAGTTTCCCCTACTGATACAATGGATAAAGTGATACTCTAAATCCAGACACCAAATCTCCTCTTTATTAAAGAACAGTGAAGCGAATTAGTGTTCTGAATTAAAATCTCTTGATATGTTTGTAGCTTTCTTTCTTGAGTTTCAGCTATTGGATTGCCAGAAAGAAAAATAAATTCAAAATATTTGTCTTGCAATTAGTGTTCTCGACATTTCAGATGGAGATGTTTTTGTATAATGAAAATGTTGCTTAGTATTTAAGGTCAGCGAGGTCAGGAAATACTTGGTGGAAGATAAGATTTTTACATAACTAAAGTTGGCAAAAGCTTGGAAAATTCAGTTTGCTTATAATAAATATACATGTTTTATTTTAATTTTTGTTAGAAAATGATATTATACTGCCAGCTGGAGATCTGTTACCATGCAAGATTTGTGGAAGGACATTCTTTCCAGCAGCACTGGTGAGTAAAGTGATCATTGTTTCTATTTGCTTTTGGAATGGGTATATCAATCTGAGAACCCTGTGTTGAAACCTCTGACATGGTCAGTGCCGAAAAGCATCTCAGTTTAAATTTTCAAAAGTTACTAGTGATACTGAGTTCCTGTTTTTTTTTTTTAGGGTGCCCAACTTGAAACACCTTAAAGGAACCTGATTTTCAGAGTTGCAGTGCCCAGTACTGTGTGAAAATCAGGCCTCTTTAAAGGCACTTATAATTAATACTCACTTCTGAAAATGTTATAGGAGTTTTGGATGATGACCCAGCACATGGTCATTTTAAGAACACTTTCACAGCTAATTTGACAAAAGGCAAAAAAGGTATCAAATGTGAGATTTCTAAAGATAGCTACAGCACTGGACCCAAGGTTTAAGAATCTGAAGTGCTGTCCAAAATCTGAGAAGGACGAGGTGTGGAGCATGCTTTCAGAAGCCTTAAAAGGGCAACACTCTGCTGCAGAAACTACAGAACCCAAACCAACAAAAATGAAAACCAAACTTCTGTTAATAGTATCTGACTCAGATGATGAAAATGAGCATGCATTGGTCCGCTCTGCTTTGAATCATTATTGAGCAGAATGGTGGTTGAAGCATGAAGGGACATATGAATCTTTAGCACGCAAATGTCGTGCGACGCTGGCTACAACAGTACCATCCGAAAGCCTGTTTTCACTTTCGGGTGCCATTGTAAACAAGAAGTGGGCAGCATTATCTCCTGCAAACTTGTTTCTCTGAGCAATTGGCTGTAGTAGGACTGAGTGGACTTGTAGGCTCTAAAGTTTTACATTGTTTTATTTTTGAATGCAGGTTTTTTTGGGTTTTTTTTTACATTCTGCATTTGTAAGTTCTACTTTCATGATAAAGAGATTGCACTACAGTACTTGTATTAGGTGAATTGAAAAATACTATTTCTTTTGTTTTTTACAGTGTAAATATTTGTAATACAAAATAAGTGAGCACTTTACACTTCGTATTCTGTGTTGTAATTGAAATAAATATGTTGGAAATGTAGAAAGCATCAAAAATATTTAAATGGTATTGTATTATTGTTTAACAGCGCGATTAATTTTTTTAATCACACGATTTATCACGATGTATTTTTTTTAATCACTTGACAGCCCTAGTTATTTTTTGTTTGGTGATTGAAATAACTGATAAGGAAGAATTTCATGTTGTTCTGTATCCAAATATAAATATTGCATGCAATAGATTTCTTTCCTCTTCTTCTTCTTACAGAAAAAGCATACACCCATTTGCCAAAAAACTGTTAGTAAGAGAAGGAAGACATTTGATTCCAGCAGACAGAGAGCAGAAGGAACTGATATTTCCACAGTAAAACCTGTAAAGCCACGGGTAGGTAGATAACCTCTGAATATTATCATTTTTGACAAAATACCATACATGGGCGTGTATTATGTGGTTAATTCATTACTTATGTGCGAGGAATGCCCCTGCTGGTAATGGGTATCTGGTAAACATAGCTAAAACATGCAGTTAGATCAAGAGACCAGTAATAATTTTAAGGTCCACTATCTTTCAAAAAATTTAAATTAGATATAAAGTAGTAACCTGTGGCATTTAATTAGACATTGGCTTCTAAAATCATATTGGAATTGAAATGTAGGAAGAAAAAGGTTGTAATCAGAATGACATAATTCTGAAATCTAATGGACCAGTACAAATGTTTTCAAGATTAGTATACTATTCAAAGTGCAGCAGCCTGTCCCAGTTTCCCTCTGGATGGCTATGATTGGACCCAACAACTGGGTCCCACATGTCTCTAAGCTAACTGGGTCTGGGCAGATTCTGGTCACTGTTTTAGGTCTGGGTCTGTAAGACACACTCTGAAGTTCAGACCCCTTGTCTGAACCCTACCTTAAGATTTGGGGACTCTGTAATGCAGCTGCCCCAGACTCTGGAACCAGTGCCTCAGAGCTCCACCTAAGTGTGGGCATAAACCTTTCAGGGATAAGATTACAGGAATGCAAGGAACACTGGCTTAGCCAGGTCACTTTTCTCTTAAAAAGCACTAGAAAATTACAAATCTTTACAAAATAAAAAGTCCTGAGGTGCATCCCTGCTCTGATTCCCCCCCTTCTACAAGTCCTGTCAATGTTTGAGGTTAGGCCACATCCCTCCTGACTTCTTAGTGGATGTCCCCTCTTAAATACAGTCTCTCTACTTTTGCCATGTTCTCTGCTAAGCAGCTGCAAATCTACTAGCCATGCTGATGCTCCTGTGCAGAAAATCCATTGTTTCATGGAGTTGGACCAGCAGTTGAGATACAATCAAAGTTGCTGGCCCTAGATTGCTCTGTGATGGCTTCTCCGTGGCAGTCCTTGAACAAGATGACAAGCACCTTTCCTGGGCAGGGTACATCATAATAGACTTGCCTTGGGGAAAGTTATACATGTGTTTAACACATAATAGAACAGGGGTGGCCAAACTTACTGGCCCTCTGAGCCGCATACAACAATCTTCAGAAGTTCGAAAGCTGGAGCACACCTGCCTGGAGCTAGGGCTTGGGGTTTCACAATGTGCAGCCTGCAGGCCTGAAGCCGTGAACCCCTCCTCCCCTCTGGACAGAAGCTCCTGCCCTACCACACTTGTGCAAGGCAGAGATCCTGAGTTCCCACCCTACCCCAGCTGGTAGGTGGAGAATGGGGGAGCGGAGAGGGCTTGCAAGCCACACTTTAATGGTAAAAGAGCCACATGTGGCTCGCGAGCCACAGTTTGGCCACCTTTGTAATAGAAGTTACAGTATAAAATGGAGTTCGTAGGTTGCTGCAGACATATACCACTATGTCACACTAAGCATTGGTTCTGGACTAGGGATCAGAGAGAAAAAAAGAGTATCAGAGATCAAGTTTTCAGGAAATAGCAATCATGTTGCTGATAAAATTATTTGCTCTTTATATTTCTGAAACAAAATCTTTTGCCATCCTAGTGCTGAGACTGAATATCCAAGTCTCTCTCTTTTTTGTCTAAGGTGTCAGCCATACTCTTCTTTGCAAACCCTGAGAGCTATTTGTCTTCCTTAGCTTTAGGGTCAGTTGGGATTTTAAATATAATGGTATTAAATATTGCATAATAAAATCAGAAATGTATTTATTATAAAATGAAAGAACCCAAAACCCATAATGTTGTTTTTTTTCTGTTGGCTTCTTAGCCAGAACCCCCCAAAAAACAGTCCAACTGGAGACGAAAGCATGAGGAGTTTATAGCAACTATACGAGCAGCCAAAGGACTAGATCAAACTCTCAAAGAGGGTGGAAAACTTCCTCCCCCTCCTCCACCTTCATATGATCCAGGTATGTGAAATGGTGAAGTGCTGAAGGTGTTTGTAAATAATTTTGATATGTTGTATGTGTTGAATTGATAAGGAATGTATTGGAATAAAATGTTAATGAATGCGTCCAGAGAATGGTCATCTGATAACAGCTAAGCAGCTGATGAGTTGTGGTTACTTATTCTGACTGGCTAAGAATTGTTTACATCCTATTATTTTTGTTATCCCATTTTCTCTGACTTTTCTTTTCACTTTTAACACATGTATGTCATGTCAAAGTGTTATTGAACAATCCGGCAGTTGGCTAAGGAGCTGAAGGAAATAGATAACTTTTATGAGATTAGTCAGGTTTTTGTTTCCTTTCTTTGGAAAAGAAAATCTTCCTTTAAGAAGCAGGCCCCCCTACAAAATATAAGAATCATGCTGAGGGTCATACATAGATCTCATGCTGTTATACCTTTTTTTTTTTTTTCTATGATAGCTGCCTATAGTCAAGTGAAGACTTCACATAAAATTTATCTGATAATATATGTGTATGTCCCAAGATTTGAACTGATATGTTATACTCTTCTGGACTACTGTGCCAAATTTAAAGTCAAGAAAATTTTAATTATCATTATGGATAATGTACATCTTGTTTGAAATTGAGGTCATGCAGAATATCACTGGTATAGTCCTGTACTAGTGTTTTGTTGTGGTCCTTCCAGCAAGCCAGTGAACAATAGCCTGATGGGGCTGAAAAAGCATCTTTATTGGAGCTATTTATTTGTATCTGCAACAAATCTGGGGTGTGCTTTGCTGCATATGTTTATGTCCACTTGTTTTGATTAAGTCACATGTCGAAAACCCACATTCAACCACTGCAATGCTACAGGACAATGAGAACTGTATTTCTCCTAGCCAGGTGGCTTGTTCGTTAAAAACTTCAAAAAACAAACCAACCAATTACAGTTTGGAAGGGATACAAACCCTGATGCTTAAGGACTTAAGCTAACCTCTAAGGTTCTGATTTAAAGCCCATTGAAGTAAATGGAAAGACTTCTGTTGGGTTTCAGATCATGCTCCCTCTGAGGAGATTGGGAAAAATTCTTCCCCGTGAGCAGTTTCTTCTATAATTACTCATTCAGAATTTCTGGCACCATCTGTACTGGCCAATATTGGAGACAGGACACTGGGCTAAATGAAGAACTAGTTTAATCCAGTATAGTGAATCTTATGGTACACAGCTTGGGCACTGCCATCATTTATTGTTGATTTGATGCTATTTGTGTAATTTTAAAGGTAACCACCAATGCAGGACACTCTCCTTTCCTTCCTCACTCAGCACTTATGTGAAGAGGCCTACCAGCCTGTTAAGTTGTATGTTGCTATACTGGACTAATCTCTTTTTATCACCATTCCTCTGTGTAAGGTCAAAACATTGAAGCTATGTGAACATTGATTACTGTAGCCTGTTGAGTCTGGCATCCATATCTTAAAGGGTAGTTTCAGACATGCTGAATGTTTTGCAGCTTTACCTCTAAAGACCCAAGTATATTTGCTCCTTGAAATTTACCATCTCTAAGGAAACATATTTGAACATAGAAGCCAGGATTGTCTTTCATTGTTATAAATTTTAGCGTAGCTCTTCCTAGCTTTTGCAAAGCTAACAAAAGTTGTTTTTGTAAAGTAAGAGAGACTGTCACAATGGTGATTAAGTTCATCCTGAATTACAACGCCCCCACAAATTAGCCTGTTTAAGAATGCCTCTAACGTGAGCTACATTTTCCCCTTGATTCAGTTTCCCCTTATCCGTATGTGACCTCATTCTTTCGTATTGCCTTCAATATGCACGGTGGATTATTCACTTGCCTGAAAACTATCAGTGAAAACTTGAAATTGCAATTGTTATCTTTTGGGACTTAAGTAGTAAAGTTTTTGAAAATGTACTTCAAACCCCAACCATAACTAAGGGCCTTCAAATGCAAAGGGACGTAGTGGCTGCAAGGCAGCTGTAGAAATGATATATCTTGAATTTTAATTAGGCTTTTGACACAATCCTATAGGACGGTGTTTCCCAAACTTGGGACACTGCTTGTTCAGGGAAAGACCCTGGCGGGCCAGGCCGGTTTGTTTACCTGCTGTGTCTGCAGGTTTGGCCGATCGCGGCTCCCACTGGCCGCGGTTTGCCAACGCAGGCCAGTGGGGGCTGCGGGAAGCGGCACGGGCCGAGGGACGTACCAGCCACCATTTCCCTCAGCGCCCATTGGCCTGCAGCTGCGAACCGTGGCCAGTGGGAGCTGCGATAGGCCAAACCTGCTGATGCAGCAGGTAAACAAACCGGCCCAGCCCGCCAGGGGCTTTCCCTGAACAAGCGGTGTCCCAAGTTTGGGAAACACTGCTGTAGACATTCTGGTAAGCAAACTAGAGAAATATAATCTAGAAGAAATTACTATAAGGTGTGTGCACAACTGCCTGAAAAAACGGTCATTGTTCATGTCCCCTTTTTCAAATTAAGGTGCTTTTTGTTCTGTTTTAAGATTACATTCAATGCCCATATTGCCAGAGAAGATTTAATGAAAATGCAGCTGACAGGCACATCAATTTCTGCAAGGAACAGGCAGCACGTATTAGTAATAAAGGAAAATTGTCTGCTGATGCAAAAGGGAAGCTGCCTGCTCGAACACAGGTGAATTATAATACTTTCTTTGACTGGTGATTTATTTTATGACTTTGTGATTGTTAAGCCAAGTCAGTTAATCATTTTAGGTGTATCACAAAATGCTTTATAGAGTTAAATAATACAGGTCCAGAATAACATAGCTGTGGGAGTGAGAAATCCAGAGGCATAGACAAGGGAAAAGTTTGGGTTTTTGGATGAGAGTTAATCAGGTGTGGAGATGCAGGAAGACTTTCCCAGATGATAGGAGTCAGAGAAAAGAAAGCTGTATCATAAATATAGGTGGAGATTATGGGAAATGGCAGAGAAATAGCTCTCCAGACTTCTGCATAAACAAATTACTGAAGGTTCGTGGAAGCATTAGGATGATGAGTACAGAGCGGCAAGGTTTGTAAACTAGGTTGAAACAAGTTCATAGAACATCATAAAAACAAGAAATGCAATTTTAACTGGATTCTGAAACAACTGGGGAGCAAATGAAGGTACTAGACTATGACAGTTATGGTTCTGCTTCATGGGACATATGAGAAGTTGGATAGCAGTATTTTGTATATCCATTGTCTGAATAGCTACTTGAGCAGACTACTGAGATGGGAGTTGCACTTAGTTATTGGGAGGAGATGGAAGACCTACAATAAGATTACATTCAGTGCCCACAGACGCACAGTTAGAAAAGTAACTTACATATACATGGTTGTCTAGATGATGATAGGCAGATTTCTGGACATGAGAGATATAGGAGGAGAAGGAAAATGCTAATGGTCAAGAATGATGTTAGGTTTACAGTACAGGAAGCAAATGGGAGATCGGAGTGTATGTATTATGTCTTGTTCTTTCTATAGTACCTTCACCATAGGGGCTAGGTGCTTTAAGTTCAGAGGGTGAAATACAAAACAAACACAAACTAAAACAGTTAATAAAAAGCTAAATAAAATTAGTTAATCTTGCATTATGTCCTGAAGGTGACTAGGCTCCAAGTCTGTGCAGAAACTGGTCCACCATCCAGCTGTGTGAATGGAGTTTGGAACAAAGAAAAGAGGCTACTTTCCTGAGCACTCTCCTAAGAGAGGAAAATTTTAGTTGTGGCATGATAATATTAGGGGTTATTAAAAGAGATGAGCAGTGGGAGATACTGGGGGGTGGGGAGAGATACAATGGGATACAATTTAAAAGTTTCTACCAGTTAGAATTGTTTTTAATCTTTTCTACAGTATTTTACATTAAATGGATAGGAAATGTCTTTCAATCCAGTAGAAACAATTTCTTCATCCACTGTTCCAGAAGCAGTGCTGACTGATGATAATTTCAGGAACTGGGGTGGGAAGACAGGCTAACAATCTTTCATGTTACATTTAATTACTTGATTAAACAGCTAAATAATTAATTATGTTGTAGTTGAGTTTTATGTCCATTGTTACAGTACAAGCCTGCTACAGTTAAAAAGGCACCTTCTGCAGGATCAACACCATCCTCATCACGCTTACCACAGCCAACTAATGTTAGCAAAACTGTTGTAGGTATGAACTGGTATTTTGAATTATGCAACTACTTTCTAAATAACTAATTTCAAACTATGAAATCAAGATTGTATAATTTTAGTAGCTGTAGAGTTCTATGAGTGGTGCACACAGAGAAAGACAGGACATAAAAGCTTCTTATGGGGAACTCATAGAACTCAAATAGTAGCACATGAATTAAATGGCGAATGGTGAATTAAATGGCGACTGGCTTTTACTTGCATACTTCTTCCAGTTGCTTTTACTAGTTTTTTGTAATCTCAGGCCTTTGGCTACATTTGTGATGAGCACATATTATGATGTTCATTTGTAAAGTTATTTACGCAACTAAAAATCAGTTAAAGTAAAGATTTACTAAATGTCCTAAAATAGGGATTTCAGTCTCAGTTCATCAAGACGCTTTAGCACATGTGTATCTTTAATCATAGTTCTAGTGAGGTCACTGGGACTGCTTTCATGCTAAATTACACATGTGGTTAAGTACTTTGTTTAACTGGGACCTTTGCGAACTGATCAGATTTGAAGTCAGATTTTTCTTTTAGTTGGTAAATTCTCTAATAAATTTGTACACTGCATATACTTCTAAAGAATTAAAAAATATTTATAGTAAAGCAAAGTCTGTAAACATTGGGCCCTATTCTAGTCACAAATAGGCACCTATTATTTATATCTGTGAAATTCATTATTACAGTTATGCAGGCCCTATGCATTATAGAATTTTCTTTAAAATGCAGAACACACCAACCAATGCCCCATATTTTAGAATACAATAGACCTTATTGTCTCAGTGTGCTTCTGTGAATTTTCTAGGTAATGATTAGTACTTTTGCTAATGCCGTTATATATTCAGAAATTATTTTTAAGTAGTAGTGTAATGATTCCAAAGTGGGCAGTACATGATATCATACAAGAATACTATTTTTGCATCTAGGAGCAAAATCTAATATTAGCTTCTTTATATCGTAAGGTACACCTACGAGTAAAGTGTTATCTACAGGTGGGCCTTCTGGAAGCAAAATTCAGACCTTATCTCCAGCTCATAAAAATTCAGTGGGCATGACAAGCCCACAAGCAGGGTAAGTCCACATTAATTTTGTAGTTAATGTTTGATTTGTCCCTGATGATAATTTTGAAAATGTTAGTTGTTCACTGTGCTATCGATATAATTTAAACTAATTACTATTCTTTCTATTAATGGTAGAGATGAAATGGGCCAATTTCATCCCTGATTTAACTCTGTTGACTTTTCTGTGTATGAACCAAAGATGAATTTGGTGTGGTATGTTTACATAGCACGCTATGATTACAGTTTAGGAAGTGGTAAGTTTAAGGGCCATCAAGCTTGACAAATGCCTCCTTGACTATGTAAACAAAAGGATATGATGTTGAGAAGGCTTAGCCCCCTATGGATCAGCTCAGTTCCCAGCCATTTCCATAGCTCCATCCTCCTGACCTACCTCAATCCAGCTTCTCCTCCCCCATTCTGCGGCAGCCTTTCCTAGTTCTTCCCTCCTCCAGCAGCTAGCTTCATGGGCTCACTGTTCCCCAGAGTGCTCCTGTCACAGCCTCATGCAGTTCAAGAAACAGGGTAGGTGTTTTTTTGTGTATGCCTTAAAGGGAAGGATAAGCATGTACTGTGAGGAACATGATGGGGGAAGCATGAAGGGATGTGTGCAAGAAAGAGATGGGAGGTAAAGACAAAGAGATAAGTAGGCATACAGGAAAGGGTAAGAAAATAAATGAGAATTAGAAAGTTAAAAACAGAAATATTGAAGAGAAGAGAGAAGAGGAGAAAGAAATAAGGAAATAGAAGGAGAAAAAGAAAAGGAAGAAATGATGCCGACCTGTAAAGTTAGAAATTGTTGCTTTTATATTATTATTATTTGTATTATCATAGTGCTTAAGAGCCCCAGTCATGGACCAGGACCACATCGTGCTTTGCACTGTAGAAACACAGAACAAAAAGATGGATTCCATCCCAAAGAGCTTACAGTCTAAGAGATAAGACGAGACCTGGACATGTTTAGTCTTGAGAAAAGAAGACTGAAGGGCGCGACCTGATAACAGTTTTTAAATGTGTTAAGGGCTGTTATAAATCAATCAATCAATTGTTCTCCATAGCCACTGAAGGTAGGACAAGAAGTAGTTGGCTTAATCTGCAGCAAGGGAGATTTAAGTTAAATGTTAGGAAAAACTTTCTAACTATAAGGGTAATTAAACCCTGCAACAGGTTTCCAGGGGAGGTTATGGAATCGCCATTATTGGAGGCTTTTAAAAACAGGTTGGACAAACACCTGTCAGGGATGGTCTAGGTTTACTTGGTCCTCCCACAGTGCAGGAAGATGGACTTGATGATGTCTTAAGGTCCCTTCCAACAGAACATTTCTATGATTTTATGAAAATAAGTAGGGTGGTGATAGGCCGTGTAGGGACCAGGAAGTAAAAATAAGTAGCTTATGTCTGATGTGGTGGAGAGAGGATGTCATTGAGGAGATTTATATAGAGGGTTGGCATTGTCGAAGCAATGGGTGAGGAGAATCATCTTTGCAGTAGCAATCTGAATGGATGTGAACAACGCAAAGTTGGATTTGTCAGGGTCTGAGAAAAAGGTGTTTGTTGTAGTGATCAAGAAATGAAATGATGCGAGCCTGATTGAGAGTTTTAGCTGTGTGGATGGATAAGAAAGGCAGTCTCTGAAAGATGTTATGCAGAAAGAATCAAGAAGACTTTGACATAGTGTATATGTGATGACCTAGAGTCAGAGGTCCAAGTCAAAGGTGACACCCAGGTTATGGGTCTGAGTAACATGCAGGAAGTGGTGTTGTCCACAGTGATCGTGAAAGTAGGTAGCGAGGAGGACTTAGGATAGGGGTGGGAATATTGGGAGCTCTGTTTTAGCCAAGTTGAGTTTGAACTGATGGCTAGACATCCATGAGGAGATGTCAAAGAGAGAGAGGCTGAGATTTTAGTTTAGACAGAAGGAGACAAGTCTGAAGTAGAGAAGTAGATCTTTGAGTTTTCAGCATAGATGGTAGTTGAATTTATGTTTGCAGATGAGATTACCCAGAGATAAGATGTAGAGGGAGAAGAGATGGGGACCAAGGACAGAAGTGTGTGGAACCCCCACAGAAAGTTTGACAGTGGATGATGACGATCCTCCGGAGGACTGAAGGAGTAATTAGAGAGATAGAACAAGAACCAGAGTTACAGAAGCCAAATGTGTCAAAAGCAACTGACAGGTCAAGGAGAATGGGGATGGAGTACTGGTTCTGAACTTCAGCTAGGAAAAGGTCATTAGAAACTGTGACTAGAGCAGTTTCAATGGAGTGGAAGGGGTGAATGCCAGATTGGAGAGGGTCTAGCATGGAGGAGAGGAACTCCAGACAAGCATTGAAAACAGTGCACTCAGTGAGCTTAGAGGTGAAAGGGACATGAGGTGGTGGTTAGAAAAGCAAATGTGGTTAAAGTTTCTGTTCTTTTTTTTTTTTAAGAAGGAAAAATTCTACAGCATGTTTGTATTGTGAGGGGAAACAGCCGAATGGGGTTGTGATGGGAGAGAGGGGCAAAATAGTTAAGGGTAGAGAAGAGTAAAGCATGGAAAGAATCAACAGCCATGGAAGAGGTGGGGAGAGAAAGCAGAGAGGAGGGGACTGAGAGCAGACAACGAGCCATCCGTGCTGAAGGACTGGAAGTCATGGAAAGGCTGACTGACAGGACCTGAGAGTAAGGGTTGGTGTGGGAGGAACACTGCTGAAAGAGACCAGGTGATCAGTTTGGAGAGGGGGAACTCAGCAACAGAGAGCTCAGAGAGAGAGAGAGTGCACCATGGTTGGTAAAAACCAAGCCAAGTGAATGGCCTTCTTGGGGACTGGAAGAGTTGATCTATGGCTGCAGGTGGAATGAAAAGGTTGAGGGAACAGCCATGGGCTTGGGAGGGTGAGGAAATGTACAGCTAAGGGGTCAGGTGGGCCATTAAAATGGAAGTTGAAGTCACTGAGGATGAATGTGGGAGATTGTGAGGAGGAGAGAGAGCCAGGAGTTGAAATTAGGGAGAAAGGCTGAACATAAGAATGGCCATACTGGGTCAGACCAAAGGTCCATCTAGCCCAGTTTCCTGTCTTCCGACAACGGCCAATGCCAGGTGCCCCAGAGGGAATGAACAGAACAGGTAATCATCAAGTGATCCATTCTCTGTCGCCCATTCCCAGCTGATGAGAAGGAGTTTGGTGGGTGATAGATGATGGCAGCATAGAGGAAGGAGAGAAGAGGAGCCAGAGAAGTGATGTTCAGAAGAGGAAAACGAGTGGGAAAGGGGAGGAGGAGAGTGTTGGAAGTGCAGAAATGGGAGAGGAGAAACCCAGTACTCCCTCTCCCCCCCCCCCCAGTCTGATCCACATCAGGGAGTGTGTAAAGAGGAGAGGGCAGCTGCAGAGGCAGTACCAGTCAAAGGGATCCAGGCCCCTGTGAGAGCCAGGAGTTGAAAGGAACAAGATATAAAGAGGTGGTGGATAGCTGTGATTATTTTAGAGGTGGAGTGGGCATTCGTGAGAGAGCAAGAAAAGGGGACCAGTGAATGGGGATCAAGGGACCTAAGTGTGAGGTTAGGAATGGTGGAATGAGGGGGTCACACATAGTGCCAGGAATGAGTGTGGGAGATGGAGTGATGGCCAGGGTTGGGGCAAATGTCACCAGAGGTGAGGAGGAGGATGCAGATGTAGGACCTGAATTTGTAGTGGTGGAAGGCAGGAAGGAATTTGGGATGGAGAGGGGAATAAGAGTAGCCAGAGGTGGTGGGAACTGTAAAGGAGGGTGGGTAACCAGAGAGGGGAGATGGAGCCAGTGTGGCGAGGGAGGAGGAGGATAGATGCTATGATGCAGAAAAGTGGTATGGTGAGTGGCAGATGGACAAGATTACAAAATAGAAACACCCACAGACGGTATGATCTCAGCCTGGCTCTGAGTCCCTCTGTTTGCAATGGTCCTCTGCTATGGGCAGAGCTTTCCAATTATAGGCTCTCTTGGTGATGAGGGAACAGGTCCAGGCAGTGATAGAGTGGCTATGATGGCTCCTGACTCAGCACTAAGCCCAAGCTGTCTGTCAAGAGGTCCCCTGCTGTGGGCAGAGCTCCCCAGTCAGTCTCTCTTGGTGAGGTGACCAGATGTCCCAATTTTATAGGGACAGTCCTGATATTTGGGGCTTTTTTTTTATATGGGCTCCTATTACCCCCTACCCCCGTCCTGATTTTTCACACTTGCTATCTGGTCACCCTGTCTATTGGTGACGAGGGGGTAGGTCTGACTCTTCCCTCTTTAGAATTCCCAGTTGAACTAATTTCCCAGTTCATTTGCTCACTGAGCATGTTTCCTTCAATCTGTCTCTGCTTTAGGAAGTGTAATAGGGAAAGGAAGAAAATAAAGGAAAACATCTTCCATTTCCTCTTCTGATACTTAGGGCTTGTCTATACTTATGGCTAGATCTGCACTGTTGCGACTGATTCAGCGGTGTCGATTTAGTGGGTCTGGTGAAGACCATCTAAAGCAATGGCAGAGCATTCTCCCATCGACTCCTGTACTCCAGCTCCCCATGAAGAGTAAAGTGAGTTGGCGAGAGAGTGTCTCCCGTCGATACACCGCGTTGACCTAAGTTACGTAAACTTCAGTTACATTACCGTAACATAGGTTGACTTACAGCTATAGTAAAAAGAAAAGGAGTACTTGTGGCACCTTAGAGACTAACCAATTTATTTGAGCATAAGCTTTCGTGAGCTACTGAAGTGAGCTGTAGCTCACAAAAGCTTATGCTCAAATAAATTGGTTAGTCTCTAAGGTGCCACAAGTACTCCTTTTCTTTTTGCGAATACAGACTAACGTGGCTGCTATTCTGAAACCTTTCAGCTGTAGTGTAGACCAGCCCCCAGAAATTAAAGAACACCTGTATGGCCACTTCAGATGAGTGCTTTAAGCAGCATCTTACATATGGCTTGGAGCAAACTTTATTTAGAGAATTGCATAACTGACTAGACATTATTTTCAAGTAGTGAAATGAATTTTTATCTAAAGACAACGTTTTTAAAGC